ATACAATATATATATATATATATATGTATATTCGCATTCCAAGTAACTTCCGGCGTTTCTCTCTTTGTGCGAATGTTGACTGTAAGAGACTTCTGCAAATATCTTACTTTTATATAAATTAATATTTTTATTTTGGCTGGAGAAAATTATTAGATAGGTATATATTCTGAAAACTTCCATATAAATCAATTTCCTCTTTCGTTAATTTTCTGCGAATATTCGCTAATTAATAACCGCTGCTGTAAATTTTCCAAAAATCCTTTTAATTATTACGATATTTGATCGATTCCTTTTATCGTCGACGTCAAAAGAAGATTCCGAGTTTAAGCCTCGCAATCGTCACGCAGATCGAAGCATATTGATGATAATCGTTCGGTAATAGCGTCGATTATATTCGCTAATACCCGTTTTAATGGTTCAGCTCTTGGAAAGCATTAATTTCGATCTCGAATCTCTCTAAAGCGTTTGTCGCGCACCTCCCGAGGCGGTATGATAGCATGGATTACACATTACCGGATGTATTTCGGGATGCGATTATGTGGAAGGCAATTACGCGCCGCCGATCGTCGTTCTATCGAACGATGGCTACGGTAATATTTAGGAACTCACATTTTAAAGACCGCAGATTCGCGATTAACCCTTTAAATTTAACGCAAATTTTTACTCCCTCTCTCAATATATACAATTTTATATTTTCAATGTTATTTTCATTTTATTTTAATATTACATTTTTTATGTTATTAAATTTAAAATTAAAACACTTCACCCAATCATAAATTTGCACACAAATATTTACAAAAAGTATTTTTTTTTTTAATTAAATATTTTTCCAGTTAAAAAATTTCTAATTCTGTTTGTGGTGCATGTTTCATTTTCTTTTTGCTTAAAATTATATAAAATATAAAAAATAACAATATATAATATATTTCTTTGAAGCAGAAATTGTTATACATGCTGCTATGCAAAGAACGCGATCTACAAAATGCACATTTCACGATGATTGACATTCAACGTAATGATTAACAGCGTGTGCTACGCACCATGTTACGAATAACGAAGAAGCGATGTGTGAAGTCAATATGTTCGAGTAATAAGGGTCAATTGCGAATAGCGTCGATTGGCGTCCAAAAATCGTCGAAACAAAGCTTGATTTTCGCTGAAAATTTATTGAGGAAAAAAAGGACTTAGAACTCGCCTTTTGGAGGCGGATTTTTCGGAATTGTGTCAAACTACACGAATTGCGAGGGTGTCTTCCAACAGTTGGCGCAGCAGGGTAAGGCGCTCTTTAAGGTATCCTTGAAGGCGTCACGGAAGTCGCGGTTGAAATACGCATAGATGAGTGGGTTTAGGGCGCTGTTGAAGTAACCTATCCAGAAAAGCACCGATACCACCGTATCCGGGCAATAACAGGCTTCGCCGCACAATGACGTTGTCAGATACCTGGAGAATAATAAACAAAAAGAGCTCACTTCTTTTACATTCAAAACTAAAAATTTTATTAAATCTTTAAACATCAAGTATAATCAGTATTATATAATTATATAAAATATAATAAGTATTAATAAGTAAATATAATAAGTATATAATTATATATCTTTTTTAAAAATTCAGTATTACATAAATATACATAAAGAAATTATCTCCAATTTTATAAATCCATATTTGAAAGAATTGAATTTAGAATTACATTTCGAAGAACCACAATATGATTTAACATATTAGGTTAAGTAAAAAGTCATCGCGTATTTTTTAGCTCAAAGTTGTATATACAATATCTTCGTCAATAATGAATGAAATTCAAATTTAAAAAAAGGGTTTTAAAGCTTGAAATCTCTACTTTTAAAAGCTTATCACATTTTTTAAGTTTATATGAGTTTGATAATTTTTACATACCAAAAACTACGAGCTGAAAAAGACGAAAAATTTTCTTCTCACTTTGTGGATTTGTAACGTGTCCAAAACGAATTTGAGAAAATTTTCGATTACCTATCGTGAAAGCTTGATACTTTCCCTACAAAATCGTTTTTTTTAAATATTCCTACGACTTTTGATTACTGAGTTATCGCGGATTAAATAAAAGAATTATTTTGACTTTAATTGCTCATAACTCCATTAAAAATTGTCGTATCGTATAATTTAAAAAAGAGATTTTTAAAGCTGAAACTTTACTCTATCAAGATATATTTATATTGTTGGTAAGAAAGTAATTGCGGTTTTTACTGATAGATGTCTTTTAAAAAAACGCGATGACTTTTTACTTAACCTAATATTTTCGAAAAGGCATAGAGAAAAGGCACCTATTATGAGATATCGAGTTTATTTTGGGTAAATGCTGAAAGTCTATAAGCAGAATTAAAAAAAATAATAAATAGGTCATTTTAAAGGGAATTTAATAAGCTTTAAAATAATGTTATATAAAATTTATATATAATTCAAATTCCATTTTTTTCTAAATTAAAGAAATGTAAAAGTGAGCAAAAAATCGCAAAGTCAAAAAATTGTGCTCCTAATATGAGATGCCCCGAGAAATAAATAATAAAACGCAAAGTATTATATATCAGTATTGTAACTAAAAAACTTTATTTAATGTTTCTTAAATACAACAAACACAGCCAGAGTGCGCGAAAAATGAATATGCGATACATTATACTCAGAACTCGTCTTCTGGTAGTTGAAATCAAGCATCACAGAAATAGGCACTCGACGTTCATTCCGGTTGTCCTTTTTATTATTATACAATAACATTTGTACTTTGACAATGATTTTCTCAACAACATGCAAGGGTTATTTCATATTAGAAATATTCTGAGTATCTCATATTACGATTTTCACACCTTACGGTTTTACAATCATCAAATCTAACTTTTGTAATTAAGTAATTAACATATCCCGTATTTTTCTCGTATTAGTACGACCTTACTCCATCACTACATGCAGAATTTATTGCTAAATATTTATTAAATAATAAACAATGTTTAAAGGCTCATCTTAATGAAACTTAAAGACATCCAAATTCTAAAATCTTTTTTTACGATGAGAAATTTTTACAGGCATGATCTAATAATAAATTTTCTACTAAATAGTTTTCAATCAAAGAATAATAAATTTATGGTGAAACCAATAAGTAGCGTCTATTAGTTTAACAGAAACGCCGCTATCTCATATTAGGCGCCTATCTCATAATAAGGAGATTTCCTCTAATATATAATTGATCTAAAAAATATGTATAAATGAAAAATAACTCTCACAAATTTTACAAAATATAAAAAATATGATATGTTATTCATATATATTATCCTTACTTTCTTTCGTTATATCAAATCATTTGTTATGTAAAAAAAGGTGGTTTTTATTTTTTTGTAATAAATACAGTACTATAAATAACACAATAACGTAAATCATTAAAGACGATCATGCCGTGGTAACATCAATAATCGAGACAGAGTGTAAATCTGTAGGGAAAAGATCAAGAGAATAGATCAGTCAAATACGGTGCGCTATAATTTTCAATAAGGACATGTACCTCAGTGTGGTGTTAGCGTATCTTAAAAGCACAAATACAGATATAGAGCTCAGATATTTATGGGATTTGTTTTATGCCAAAACTACATCGGAGAAAAACGTATGCCTCATCTGTTTTTCTACAGACATCTGCGCTGGGTATTTCGCATATACATGCATCTGCTACATTATGTGTAGATTTCGGATCAATATTTCAATATTGCCTTTTCTACGTGGGTGAAAATCAACGTGAAAATAAGATTCATGTCCTGAATTCAGCACACGTAGCACCCACAATTTTGTAACGAAATTCGAAATTTCCTGTGATTTAGAGGTGTTATTACGTTTGCAAAAATGCAACATAAATCCTATAAGTTCAATAAAGTCAATCTGAAGATATATTTATTAAACAGAAACTATTGTAACTGTTCCAGTAATTAGCAAAGTTATCACGTCAATTACTAGTTTAAATTAAGAGGAATGATGCTTACAGTTTAATATAATTATTTCTAATTTATATTCCAAAATTAAATTAATGAAATATGAAAAAAGCAACGAATAATTTCAAAGCTATATATTTTATTGCAAAATTTAGCGCAATTTTCTCTAAAAGAAAGCTTATTTTATGTATTTCATGTATGTCTAAAAATTGCCTCATTGACTGGAATATTGCATATTCTATATAAATCGAAATAAAGCTAAAAACGTAATGCAACCGTATTTTCGACCACATAGTCGTATCATTATTAATGTGCAAAGCATTGATACCGATATAGTGCAATATTAAATGGATCGACGTGGATTTGTGGTCACAGTTATCTCCGTTTGACGAAAATTATAAAGCCACCGATATCAATCAAACAAATTGAACTTTGAAAACGCAGTTGATTTCTTCTGTACAACTACATCCGCTCCGGATTTATCTCGTTGTATTGTTTTCCAATATATCTCTATTGTTATTTCTGTCGCACGTCTCACGAAACATATATCACATGGAGAAAGAAGAACATACAATATCGAACACATAATAAAATAAAAATATAAAATATTAGCAGATTATTGAGATTGGATACAAAAAAATGTAAATAACTATAAACGTTAAAGGGCGAATTAAAGAGGTTTACGTACTGGTATTTGGATATCTTCTTAAAAACACATTAAATTCATACGATAAAAGTGAATCGATTGTATAAAAGTTGATAACGCGATTCGGAAAATGGCCGAACTAGGAAACTAACGCGAGCTTTTAGGTCAGTAGAGTGATGCGCTTTGTGCATTTGCATGAATAAAAATCGAGTTGCAAAATCGAGGTGTTCCGTTGCACGTCCATATATCTGCATTACTTCGCTCTATTTCCATAGAGAGCTCATTTTCCGGCGGAACTTCAGTCGAACATATTTATTCATCGTCATCATTTGCTATATTTAACGAAATTACTACTATAACGTTTTCAATAAGAACCTATTTAATATGTAGTATTTTATTAAGAAATAAAATAAAATGGTATAATATGGGCTTTATATACAAGGATATAATTAATTCTAATTTTATCATATTTTTTACAATATAATTTTAAAGTTATCTATCTATAAGATGCTTTATTAAATCTTTTTAATGTAATTTTAATAGCCACTTTAAGGAGTTAATCTGTAAATGACGAACTTTTCATAGTAATTTAAAATTAAAGTTACTTTTATTCATTCTATTTTAAACTCCTTTATTCTTGCTACTTTCCACGTAATCCTAAAACATAGTTTTACTGCAAAATCCATTCCTTCAGGGATAAACTCATCTAAGTGGTAAGTGACCACATCACGTATAATTATTGCATGCCTAAAGGGATTTGCACACATCCCAAGACTAAACAAATTTCCGAGATACCTACCAATTTGTTCGTACAGACCATATCTGTCTCCCGTATTATCTATTTTGAATTTCGGATCGAAAACGCTTTGAGACAAAGTTTTTTTCTTCGTCCCTCGAGTTTCTCTAAGAGAGACCTTCATATTCCGTTACGGTCGTGACGCTTAGTCAAGCAAATAGTCAAACTGCGAGCAAGCTTGCGGAGAGAGTAGGGTAAGCCCTCGGTAAACTCCATAGAGATGCACTTTCCGAGCTTGCATTAATAAAACATGGGGCGTACGAGATCGTCTTTTCCTCTGCTAACTTTAGACATTTGGCATCAGCAAAGCTTTTGACTTTTTTCTCTTTCTTTCTCTTTTTTCCTTCTTTTTTACTTTTGATAAAACAATTCGATATATAAATTCCACAGTAAAATTTCTACAAAGTAAAGTGGGCTAAATGAATTTTCACTGAAACTATTTTGTTTGATAAGATCGAGCTCTTCTCTGTGTTTCTTTTAGAAGAATTTGTTGACGTCATTAGAGACTTATTTCTTTAGAGTGTGTGTGTGTGTGTGTGTGTGTGTGTGTGTGTGTGTGTGTGTGTGTGTGTGTATACACAATCAGTAAGAGAATACAGTTTAAATAAATTTTTAATACACAAATTTTTTCATTTATTATTATTTAATATATTTTAAAAGATTAAGGTAATCATCGAAACTGTTCCTCATCGATTTTAATGAGTTTTGGATATGTTGCAGACTATCTAAAAATATTAAACCCATTTTTTATCTTCTTATCTCAAAATTTAGAGAAACAACACCCAAAATAATAACTTTTTTATTTTTTCAACAAATATCCTTGAAACTATGAGGTATATGAGGAAAAAATGTTTTATATAAAAGTTTTATAATATTTTATATTCTTAACGGTGTATTCATATTTTTTTGAAAATATCAAAAATGGAAAAATTCTTTTCTTTAGGAGATCTTTAAACCTTGAGATAAGTAGTCAACATATCTTAAATCCATCAAAATTGGTAAAAGACAGCTTCGACAATTGCCTTGTAAGATAGACACTTTATTTACTCAATTTGATTCTACAAACTTTGAAATTCTTAATTTACAAACATTTAAATTGAATTGATTCCATTTTTTTCTTTGAATTAATGAGAATTTAAATTAAAGATGTAAATCAAAGATTTGCTTTTCTATTTTACATTTCATTGGCATCTTGATCTTTATCTTTCCCTTTTCATCGACAAACTCTTCGATTAATTAGAAATAAAATAAAATCTTAATCAAATTATTTGAAAATTTTTTGACTATTTTTTTCTAATGAAAATAAAAAATCTTTTTTAAAGAAATTGAATTATTAAATTTTTTTTACTTGATGCTCACCAGAGGAAGAATGGCAGCCAACAAAGGAGAAACGCCCCCATAATTATACCGAGTGTTCTCGCAGCTTTGTGTTCGGCCCGCCAACTTTTTGTTTGCTGTCGTATCGAAGTACCTGAAACACAAAAATAATCAAATTACGTTGTGATGCCGACTTTTTGAGAAATTTAATATTTTACAATTAATATCACACAGTTAAAGCTTTTAATAAATCTTAATTTATCTCACATAAAAGAAATCTTACAAAAGGTTTTATGTTATCAGATAATGGAATTTATGTTATCAGATGGACGGAAATATTGCAGTTCTTTATGGAAATTTTATGAATAATTATTATATCTGTAATTATGTATTAAATATGCACGTTGTGTAACGTAGATTTATGTAGAATATGAAGCATGAGTATTAACATAGTACATTCCATTACACGCGTTGAATTGGTTTAAATTTTAATTCAAATTCAACGAGACTAGAGTTGTTTACATAATTATCATTATAGAATGTAAACTAGATCTGAAATGCAATTCTAATAATAATATTAATATTATAATGGTTTTTCTAGTATACTTAATACCAATTTTATATTTTTCTATGAAAATACATATTAATGGGAGATTCAGTTACACACATAACTCTCAACCTTTAATTAGTTACGTGGGTTGGTAACAATCCCACTCTGCAATTTAGCGAAGTCAAATTGATTGTTGATTATTTGAAATTAAACGGAAACTCATATAAGATAATTAATTTCTATAATTAATTTCTCTTTTTGTAATTAATTTCTTCTTCTTTCTTATTTTATTCTATTTTATTTTTATTTTAATAATTTTAATTTCACGATTTAAAAGTTATAAAATTAAAAGAAGAGCAATTCAATCATTGTATTTTATATTTTATGATTTTATTTAATTTTTGAAATACAATATAATTTAATACTTTTTTCTATTTCATCTTGTATGACTCGATTTAAATTTATCAAAGTATTTTAATTTTAACAAATTTTGGATGAATATAATTATAACAAAAATATGTGTATGAACGAATTATAATTATTTATTAACAATATATAATAAAAACAAATTGATACAAATAATTCATTAATCATATATTTGTATAAATACATTAAATTATTTCTTAATTTTGGTGGAAAAATTCTCTATTTGAAATTATAAAGATTATAAATGATTATAAATGATTGTACTGTATCGAGACATTTTACTGTATTGACATGGTAAGAAATTTTTTGGTAAATGACAATTTTTCTTTAAATGAGTGAAAGAATCGGATAAATTTCGCGATGCAATGCAATACATCAAGTTAGAAAAAAAATAAAATAACTTTAAAATTATTAAATAATTTGTTTACATTATTTTAATCCTTGATTTGTTCTGCATTTATAAATTCATTATAATACATTTAAGAATATAATTAATATAATTAAATAAAAATATTAATTAGCAATAAAAATTCAGATCGTAAAGTGTTAATCGATGAATTCAACAAGATTTAATGAAAAATTATTGTCTGCTGTCCTCCCCTTCCCCCTTTTCTCTCTACCTCTCATATCATCGCATTTTTTTTCTCGAGTTTCTCCCGAGAGCTGCAAAAGCCATTAAAAGCCGGCCTACCCAATTTCTGATATAATTACCTTGCACAACGTGCCATTGAGCGTTGTTATCGTAGCGCACAACTGTGATAATCGCACTGCGAGCGAACATCATCATACACGGAAATTTTTCTACAAGCTATTAACACGCACTGGCCATTTAATCTCGTCAGTCAGTGTTCCGCGAGAAAGTTTCTGCCGTCGTAAAAAAAGCTCTCTTTTCAGAGAGAGAGGAATAAGTAATAATAATCTTTATATGCAAAAAATAGTACTCATAAAACGTAAAGACATTTGTCACTTAAACTAGAAAAAATTTACTAAATTATATTTATTAAAATTTAATTGAAACATTCGATGTAAACATATAAGCATGTCTGTCTAGTTTAGAGTCTCTAGAACCAGAATCTGGCCATGCCCTAAAAATAGCGTGCGTAAATTATATAACAATGCACTATTTATGCACATTTTATAAATCCACAGAAAAAATTTTTGCGCCCATTTTGTTTAGCATAATTCTAACAATAATTCTATTTAGCAATAATTCTAACAATAATTCTTTCCTATGGAAGGATTGAGAATGTTGTCAGTGAATCTGTCCTCTTTTACGTGTTAGTAACAATTAATTCAGAAAATTAATTACAGGATTTACGCTATTTATACTGATGCTACTTTTTAGCATCTCATGAAATGAGCATCACTAAGAAATTTTTCTATCAACACTAGAGGCATAAAATTTGTTTAAAGGGTACAGTATAAAAACCGACCACGTGGATATAAAAGTGCATAAGTTGTAGATTAATTATAATGAATAATTGATTTAATAATCTCTTTCATTTTAAAAACATTTTATGCTGATTATATTTCTGATGTCAAGAGAGAAGTCTTTTAAAGGTTGCAAAAATTAAAATTATTTGAAGCATAAATTGAAGATATCTATTGCATAGTTAAATAATACGTGTAATTTTGCAATTTTAAATGATTCAGAAATGAATATATAGGAACAAAATTGTTTGTTTCAAGAAAAAAATACTTTAAGGGATGCAGCGCAAAAATCAAAATTACTTTAGTATTGTACGTATAAATTCTACGTATTTAAGTCAATTAGTCGTTAATAATGAGGAGGACTCACAGTCTAGTCAATCCTCCTTCCATTAACATATACATAACACATTTTTTAGCTAAACAAAATAAATGCGTAAATTTTTTCTTGTAACTTCATAAAATGCAAAAATAGTACTATAATTTATTCATTAAATTTTGATTAAGTAGAGAGGCTTATAGCTAAATAGAAGTCATATAAGTCACTTTTGCAAAATAATTATAAAAATATAATATTTTGGTATTTTATATATTAATATATATTTTAAAATATTCTTTATACGCATTTTTATCTAATCCCTTTTATTGAGCAATTGAAATTGAAAACAAATATTTCTTTAAAAAGAATTGTTTTAGTGCGAGCTGTTTTGATAGTTCAGTAATGGAGACTTAAAAGTTTCATCAATACACAGAAATCGTGAATCTCTAAGTACTCTTGTGAATGTGCATCGGGACTCAGAAAACCGCAGACAGAGCGAATTCACTTGGGGTTATATTCGGAAAAGAGAGAGACGGAGTAGTTGTTGTTTAGATAATACGAGAATGGAAGGAAGAGTGTCCGTCCAGACAGAAGGCTGAAGGGTTCGCGTGCTCAGGCGTACTGAGGCAGATTTAGGTTGGTTGGTCGATGCTCAGCGCTTTCGTGCAATCAATGCTCTCGTCTATCAAGATATAAGAAGTGCTTGTACATATAGGGTGATTTCAGCGAGAAATTGTAAGGGCCGGCGAATTTTAGAGTTAATCCTTGATAATAAGTGCGTATCAATTTGTTAGGATTTAAATATAAACTTACATAAGCGAAAAAAAATATTCAGATTCTATATTTATGTTTTTCAAATTAGATATTATAATCTTTTTAATATGTAGAATAATAGTACGTAATGTTATGATAAATTAACGTATATGTGTTAAAAAATGATTTTAAAGTTAGAAATAAGAATTTTATGTGTATAAATATATAATGTATATAAATCATATTCCTAGAATAGATATCATATATATATATATATATGATATCTATTTTAGGAATATAATTTTCAATAGAAAATTTAAATTTACATAATATATTTTTATAATATATAATATGTTTTTAAAATGTAAATCTATTTAAATTTCATATGATTTTGGAAAATTATTTATCTTGTCTAATGTTTTGTGTTTTATTATTTATTGTATATAATGATGTACAAAAATCTGTAAAACCTTTCTTAATACTGAATATTAAAATTTTAAGTGAAAAATCTCATAAGTCTTATTCTCTACAAGATATTTATCAATTAAACTGTATACATATCAGCAGCGTATTCTCTGTTACTAATCACCCTGTACATGTACACGCGCGCGCAGGATAATCGGAGATACAAGACAATCCGACCTTATTTCGCATCGCGTAATCTTGCGAACTAAAGCTGCGTCTTAATATGTCGTTCGTTACTTGGTGTCTCCGGGGAAATATCTTCAACACTTTTGTGGTCCAATTTTCATTCTCTTTTGAAAACAGATGGGTAACGACAAGTGAATATATCAGTGATGAACAATGATATATTATCGCAATCTCTTCAACCAATGAGAATTTCACTTTTCTAGGAAAAAGAAGTTCTGTGGCGTGTGAATATGAAGAAAGTATATTATATGAAGATAGCATATTATATGTATATATAAAATATATTTACTATTTAGGGATAAAATATCTTTTATAAAATTTATAAAATTAAAAATTTATAAATATTATTTATTTTTTGTTTGTATAGTTATACATATTTTATATATGTATTATTATGTACAAATATATGCTCGCAATATTAGTTATAATATTTCTTTACGTTTGTTAGTAAAATTAAATTATAATGCTATTATAATTAAATTTTGTTTACATAAGTAAAATTTTTTAATAGTTTCTTAATTTAGTAAATTATATTTTTGTAATTTTTAAGACTACAAGGTATTATATATTAGAGTAAAGTCATCTATTAGAATAGGTTCTTAATATGAGATAGTTTTTTATTGCTAAACTAATAAGCGCATGTGTTTGGTTCTATTATGAACTTTTTATTCTTAGTGCGAAACTTGTTTAGTAGAAAATTTATTATTAGATCATGCGTGTAGTCATTGCAAAAAAAGATTTGTGAAATTGAATGTTGTCAAATTTTGTCAATTTTATTGAGGTTAGTCTTTAAATCTTGTTTTATTATATAAAAATAAATATTAGGTAATAAAGTATATAATGATGCATATAATGATCATCGAGTAAGATCGTATTTAGAAAAAAACATGTGATATAATGATTTGTTTAAGTGTAAAGATTAGAATTGGTGATCGTAAAACTGCAAGGCATGGAAGTCGTAATATAAGATACTCAAGGTATTCTTAGCTAATACGAGAGCATCTAAACAATTCAATATCTCAAAGCA